GCAAGCGGATTTATGGAGTCAAGATGTTTTTCGTAGAATAATTGTGATTTTAAGCTAAGAACAAGTCAATTTTTTTTAATATATTTTTCACCTTAAATCAACTTAATCCCTAGAAGTAATTAACTCAATAAGTTAGAAAATCCATAGAAGTAATTAACTCAATAAATTAGAAAAATTAACTTGTTCTCAACCAGTAACTTGCAGGAGTGAGTTGATAATTGAAAAAAGGTTAAACAGTATGGTAAGAGTTATATCTTCTCTTACAGTAAAATAGAAATACATTTCTAAAAATAAGGTAAAATTTCAATAAAGAGGTCATACATGGCCCAACATTTACTGCAAAAAGATCATAAACAAATCATAAATTGAATTAAAAAAAAGCAGTTAAGTAACTATTATTTTTCAGTTTCTGTTGTAATAAAATAGCTGATATTATTTTGACAATAATAAAAATATAACAAATTAAATATGATACTAAGAGAATGACTACGATTTGCAACCAAACAAAACATGGGCTTCTTCATTGTTGTCAGTTGAGCCCCCATGAAATCTACATTTTGGCTTCTTCGAAGTTTCCACAGACAATGAGGAATAAGTCTGTGAACTGTATGCATACCCGTGTTATCAAGTTTGTCACTTTATCTTTGAGCAACACGGCACCTTTCCTGCCATCCAAAAAAAAACCACTTATTTTTTTTAAAAAAATTTAAGTTTCTCAAAAATCCAGCATAAACAACTTATTTCAATCAAAAAGCCAAGTAGGTGACTTATAAAAATCTGTCAAAATTGCCCTTTTGTGATCAGATGAGCCCTCTGAAATGTATATTTGGATTCTTCAAAGTGATGACAATGAGGATTAAGTCTCTACACTGTATGCATACCCTTGTTATCAAGTTTGTCACTTTATCTTTGAGCAACACGGCACCTTTCCTGCCATCCAAAAAAAAAAAACCACTTATTTTTTTTAAAAAAATTTAAGTTTCTCAAAAATCCAGCATAAACAACTTATTTCAATCAAAAAGACAAGTAGGTGACTCATAAAAATCTGTCAAAATTGCCTTTTTGTGATCAGATGAGCCCCGTGAAATGTATATTTGGAATCTTCAAAGTGACGACAATGAGGATTAAGTCTCTGAACTGTATGCATACCCTTGTTATCAAGTTTATCACTTTATCTTTGAGCAACACGGTACCTTTCCTGCCATCCAAATTTTTTTTTAATTTTTAAGTTTCTCAAAAAACCAGAATAAACAACTTATTTCAATCAATTTTATTTACAAATCAAAGATTACCATTCTTAACAATATTTTTTAGTTGCTTTCACGTATAATTAACGTGAAAATGGGGATGTAAAAGATGTTTGTTTAAGTGAAATAATAGAAACTATAATAATTCTACAGATTGTTCGTCCAAACAATGTTTGGCCGCAACCGATAACTTGACCTCTAAGAAATTGTTTGGAGAGAATAAATGGTCTTTATTATAGGAAAAATTAGAATAGAAGACCTAAAGGGAATAATATTTACTGTGAAGGATCTTAAAAATCCTAATTACTTAGACAGACCAAAAACCAAAATATAAATATACCAGTACTAAACTATACCCCTAATAAACTTTCTTATACTCACTCTAACCACATCTCAATTACTTGATAATAGGAGAGAAAACATTAAGATAAGGAAGGAAAGAAAATTATGGAGGAAAATGAGAGAGAAAGTGAATTTTTACTTATTTGAATGTAGGGTGGAAAAGTGAGAAGAAAAAGTTGAGGAGAAAATAAGGTGTAAGCCTAGCCACAATTTCTTTTTAATTTTTGTTCTTTATATAAGATGAGAAAATAAGAAGAAAACTCATTTTCTATTTCGTCTTTGTCTTTCATTTTTATATTGTATTTTAAGTATTTATTGACAATGTTGGATGATGTATAATTTATTTATTTCTTTAATTATATATGATTTCAAAAAATTATCCACTTTTTATTTCTTTATATTTTTACATAAAAGGATATTTTGGTTATTTATATTTTTTTTTCCTATCTCCTCTCATTCATTTACACAGGAAAGGTGACAATTTTTTTCTCTAATTTTTTCTTCTCCCATTTTTTTTGCTTAACTAACTTTTCTTCCTTCTTCCAAATGAAGAATAAAGACTTATTGGCAAGAGGCATGGATCTTTAGAGTGGTGATAGGACACTCTGAGAAAAAAGAAGTTTGGTTAAGCAAAACTCTTGAGCTCGGCTTTGCAAGACCTGAACCCTAGCAATGGCGATGAAGATGTGGATGGCGAGGTGAATAAAAATGAGGACGAAGCTTAAGAACTTTTCTGGGGATTTAAATATAGTGAGATATCATTGCATCTTCAATTCTAAGCATATATTATTCTAGACGTATGTTAATTTATTTTGTGTGTGTATTATAATCATTGAAAAATATATAATGGCCATATGTCAAGTGTTTTTTTCGGGCGCTATGATGAGTAAATAATAACACTTCTCCATTCTTTACTATAGAATTCAACTGTTGAATTAATTTTGATTATAAATATAAGACTTATTTTTTATATTTATTAATTTTTTTTCTATATTATCCGATACTCAATTAACCATAATCAAGTAGGAGAAGAAAAAATATTAAGAAAGGTGGTTATGATGTTTTAGGAAAACGATATCATATTTTTTTATAATTAACTAACTTATCTAATTTTTTAATTTAGTTAAATTATTTAAATAAATTTTATATTAATGATCGCACGATTAAATTTAAGATATACACACCACGCATATATGCACTGGGATCGTGGCAGCGAATAAACGTACATCTGGTTTGCTTTTGCCTCGCTCTGGGATATTTGGGGCCGGGTTGGACCCATCTTGACATAGACAGCCTTGCCTCTGACAACACATAGCTTTTTTTTTTTTTTTCTTTTCTTGGATTAAACCACAAACAGCATATTCGTTTTTAGAGAACATTAAGCAAAAAAAAAAAAATACCTTGGCCAGTTGGTAAACAGTTGGTCTAGTCCAATTAATAAGAAATTAGTTCATAACCCACAATGTCAATTGTGTGTTTAAATTTCAGTACTGATATGAGAATCTTGTTGGTGATAATCTATAAGTATTTCTGTAAGCATTGTCTGAGTTTGGAGGTATGTCCTGACTGTGGTGAGTTCCTAAAACGCACCTCACTTAAACTTTTTTGTTGGGAAAAAAAAGGGAAAAGTAGCTCAATGTGGAACACGTGATGGAAGACGACAAATCATGATTATCTATCAGTGACGACTGATGATCCAAAAGCTCTAGTCCCATTGGTTCCTTAATTTCATTTATTTATTTTGCTCATACGAGCCCAATTCTAGTGCCACTGCGAAAATGGCAATTTACATCATCCTTGCTAGGTTGATTATAAAACATGATGTTTAGAAATTATCACCGCTGAACATAGACCAGTTCCTTATATGTAAGGTCCAAAAGATATTTTTTTAATACTGCTGTCTACATACCAAGTCTAAAGTATTATATGAAATAAAACTTGATTAGTAAGAGTATTTTAGAGAAGACAAAATAAGATAGTATAAGCTTTGCTAATTTTTTTTAATTTACTTAAATTAATCAATTAATTCTTATATTAAAGACCAGGTATAGTACTCCTCCGGTCCTTAATATAAAACCCATTTAACTACTTTGATTAGATTAAGGAAGTTAGGTAATTATAAGAAAAGTGACACATTTTCCCTAAAACACCATAATCATCTTTCTTAATACCCCATCTTCCTCTTCTACTTGATTATGATTGAGAGAGTATTCATAGGGGTAATTTAGAGAAAATTGATAAATATGATAAATGAGTCTTATATTTAGGATTAAAACCAACTCCAGAATTGGGTCCTATATTAAGAATCGGAGAAGTATAAGGTTAAGCTGACCAGCTGCCAACTCGCATTCACATTGGATTCCCGAGGAACCCAAATATGAACACACCGTCGTTGCTGTCAACAAGGAATAAAGAGTGAAACGTACAGAGGTGATATTTTGTTACATATAAATAAAATGTTATGTCGTGTTTAACTCCCTTGGTCCAGCCTCTCCTCCTGACCTAGACATTTAATTTCTTTACGCTCGCATGTGAGGGCGTGACGACGACAATATTATAAAGGTTTTCCGAGTTCAGGGCACATTTAATTGGCGGCTATATGGCTTTTTAGAGGTACCGTATGTTTGGCCATCTCAAAAAGGCTTAGCGGCATACAGAGTGAAGTGGGAACCAGCTTGGTACTGATTGATGTGAAATGGGAAGGGACGGAAGAGAAGGAGGGATGCAGGGGTTCTTTATTCAATCAAATCACATGCTAAATGCTATTAAAAAAACTAGCTTTATTTATAGATATTAGGAAATAATGAATGATAATTTTCAAATTCAAATCTAAATCAAATACTAAGTCCTATAGATAAAAAGAATAAAGATAATTCTAAGATATCCTATTTTATTGAGATAATACAAATATTAAAAAGTGAATAATTAAATAAATCCATATTCTGATAAATGAATATATATATATTCACATCCCTAATGTATAATCCTAGATATTTCATTAAACCCTAATTGTTCTTTAAGTCATATCCCATCATCTATCCACATATAATGACAAAATGATTACATAGAACACGGTCCACTTGCGTAGGTATGATTGTCACTAATGCGTTTTTGCGTAGGTATACATAAAAACTTGATGCTGATTTGATTTGCTCGGTGCTTATGACATTATATGGTAGCGTTTTCCTCCAATTCGCACACCTTGCACGCTTCTTCCCTCACCCTCGGCCTCGGGCTCCTCCTTGATTCGCCAGACGCGTGTACTTGACATGGGCCCTCACCTAGAGATCTCCATTTGGGCCCAGTTCCTGTGGGATCATCTATGCGGCCCTATATAAAGGCATGCCTGTAGGTTGTTTCAGCATCATCGATCAGTAGAATAACTAGCGCCGCGCGAAACTAATTAAACAAATGGCTATCAGAGTTATTGCACTGTCTTGCGTTGTATTTCTAGTCTCACTCATAGGCTTCGCTGCTGCAATGGCCACAACTGTAAGTAATCGCTCTCTTTCTCTTATGTAGATCCATTATTATTATTGTAAGCTTTTCCTTCTACTTAGTTTTTTGTGTGCTTTTGTTCATGTGCATGCAAGCAGGCGGACCAGTGCCAGTACGTTGTGAGAGTTAAGACAGGAAATGTCGATGGTGCAGGAACGGACTCCACCATTAGCCTCAAGTTAAAGTCCCAATCCGGCGATAGTTTTACCATCGCCAACCTCCTAGATTGGGGCTCAATGGAACCCGGTCACGTCTACTTTGACAGGGACAACCTTGACATCTTCAACGGCAGGAGCAATTGCCTCGATGTTTGCGCCATGACCGTCACCTCCAGCGGCACAGGGTCCAGCCCAAGGTGGTACTTGAATTACGTCCAAGTCACCGTCAGTGGCCCCGTACGTGCGGACATATCGTTCCCCGTGAACGGGTGGCTGGCTGAAGACAAACCACCCCATTCGCTCTCTGCCAACGTCGACTCATGCTCCAGCTTCTATCCTTTGAAGCCCGCTCTCTTTTCTGTGTGAGGGAGTAACAGTAACAGATATCTGGCTTTTGCTGGTCTGTTACGTTACGTTGTTGTGTCTTATGTAATGTTTGTTTGTCATATGCGTGTCGTCTCGATATTAATAATTGCTACCTCTCTCTCGGCTTATATGTAATTTATAGATAATAAATAGGCCTTGAGGTCGCAGTATGTATCTGGCTTCTGATGGTAAGCAGTGTCACGTTGTGTGTTGCCTAATAATATTTGTTTACTATAATTTTATACCTTGCCCTGGTGTCTCACATAAACTGTTTCTTTTTCAATTTTCATTATAAATAGTTTGTTTTGTTTAAGGAAACTGAAAAAATTGAATAATTAAAAGGGTAAAAGGACAACTTTTTTTCTTAAAATACAAAGAGTTACTGTATAAATTTGTCTTAAAAGCTTTGCCTTAAGAGTGCTAAGCAATCTTAAAATTTTTTAGATGCAAATTTATCTAAAAAATTTAAAATTGTAGTGATGTTGCCTCCTACTATTAAGAATACTACTTCATTTTTTTTAACGGTCAATATTAATTTTTTAAATATAATAAATGATATTATTATGATTTTAAATTTTTAGCTAATTTGAACCCAATAAAATTTTCAAGTAACTAATGTTTCTGAACAAAATCTTTCGAAAGTTCAAAACAAATTATACCTTAACTTTTTGTATTTTAAACGGCGGCCCAAGCAGGTGACCTTTGAGCTTGTAGGGGCTAGGTGGGACGAGCTTGTAGGGCGAGGTGGGACGAGGCTGATCAATTATCTCCAATGAATTCAAGAGACAATCATAAGAAAGTTCAAAAAAGTTATTAAAAAATTTTAATAATAACTTAACAATAAATTTAGAAATAAAAAATAATAACTTTTAAAATTTATTTTATAATTATTTTTTAAAAATTTTATTACAATTTTTTTTTCTAAATTTAATGAGACTGGACTGTTGGGTTCTTTGAATTGGCCCAAATATTTTACATTGGCTGCGTCCAGTTACTTCGCCCCAAATATAATTTAGTACTTATTGCAAGACACTTGCTAGAAAAAACAATTTAATCCTTTTTATAAGACTCTACGACAATTTTAATCAGCATTAAATATTTTTTATATATATTCACAATTAATAGGGGTAGTAAGAGAATAAAAATTAATATGATGTTAAATTTTAGTGTAATTAATAAGAATAATATTAAAAATTACTTGAATTTTATGACAAATTTAATATATTTAACTATTTTAATCGATACATATTAATTAGTTAGCAGTCTCTTATAATAATATAATAGGATCAAAGGGAGTATATTGGTTAGATAAATGGCGTTAAAAAAGACTTTTTTTTTTTAAATATTGGCGTTAAAAGTTCATTTATGCACTAGTGTGCTTAAATAATGTTATCAGATCCATTGTCCAATCAAATTTATTTTCATATATAATTTTTATTATTAATGATGCTTTGTTATTGTGAAAATTTACCCACACAAATTTTTATTATTAAAAATTTATGTACTTTTGATTATAGGATTTGACATGATATGGATATAACGAAATATTGGTCAAGATTTATAAATGTGTGTGTATATATGTGTAAACATTTTGTGTTTTTGATTTTATGTCTTGAGATATTATAATTGTGTTTGAATAAAACAATTTCCAATACTCCATTTTTCTTTTCTACATAACTGTCTGATATTTAATGAAAAAGGAAAATGAAAGTTATCGTGGTAAATATTTTTAGAATAAATACTGCCAACAATCCATTCTTATTTCTGAGGTGTACTCATCACCTTCATCTTTTTAGTGATACGATGTTACCTATGATATGATCTTCTAAATTTGTTGCAATCTCATCCTTATTTTATTTATTTAAAATCACTTTTTTCCTTTTACTCGTGTTAAGAGTTAAAATTAATAATTTTGGTTGCATTTATCAAATCATTTACAATTTTCACACAGAGTAATCAAATTATAGTCACATCAAAAAAACTGAAAATGGGTGAGATTGCATCAAATTTAATAAATTATGGGTAAAATTATATTACTAAAAAAAACTTAGGGTGTTTAGTGCACCTTTATGCATATTTTTAGGTTTAATAAATAAATAAATAAATCGTTGAAATTTATTAATTAACTACAAAAGTTTGTCCAGCATAAGTTATTTTCAAAAAAAGAATGCGGGAACTCATTGAACAATTACATATGTGATGGAAATAACTGACTGGAAAGGATCATAATTTCTGCTGAAACAAACAAGATAATGAAACTAAAGAGACATCATTACTGAAATGAAGAGATCATACTCATATTATTAAGATCTTTCTTATGATTAAGCATGAAGCTCAACAAATTATGCAAACGGCAGCCATGAGCTCGCTCTGGCCGGAAACCCAAAACCTAGCCTGTTATTGTTCACTAGGAAGCCTTCTCTAGTACCCCTCTTGTCTTTAATATAAGACCTAATTGTTGAGTTAATATTAGTATTAAATATAAGACCTATTTATGAAATTTATTAATTCTTTCTAAATTACCCCTACTGATACTTGCTCAATCATAATCAAGTAGAACATGGAGGAAGGATATTAAGAAAGATGATTATGGTATTTTAGAAAAAACATGTTATATTTTTTATAATTAACTAACTTTCATAACTTTCTTAATCTAATCAAATTAACTAAATAGGTCTTTTATTAAAAACCGGAGGAGTATTTATTTCAGGCCCACTGACGGTGATTTCCACGAATTCCAAATGCCACTCTAGCCTGCTCCCTCGCCCGTCAATGGAAACGAAGATGGAGCAACGGTTGAGACAAATGTTCCCGCTGCTGAAGAAGTTGAGATTGTTCGACTCAAAGTAGTTGCGGTCGGGTTCTATGGTGTAGCACCTAATTTAAGAGTTATTGCTGGTTTTATATGGAAGACTTATTTCATATTTTATGAATTTTTTCTCAAATTAACTCTATTGGTATTCCCTCAACAATAATTAAGTAGAAGATAGGGGAAATTAAGAAAGATGCATAGGGTATTTTAAAAAATATATATATATCATATTAATTAATTTAGTTAACATCCTCAATCTATTCAAATTAGCTAATTAGATTAGTACTATATGCTTGCAAATATTGCAGTCCAATGTGGAAATGGGCAGCGCGGTCCGTATGATTAGAACATAACTAAACGAGGGAAGAGATGTGACACCCTCACAATAGACCCGAGGATTAGGAGAGATAATTAATAGGAGATCAAAGAAAATTATGAAAAGGAATAAACAGTAGGGTGAATTTCACGGACATTTATCATCAAACCATCATAACAAAGCCTAAAAACTAAATGAGATGCAAAGTGTCATTTTTTTAGTCTTACGTACTATAAGGTATCAATATCCTTTTCTTTTTTATATTTATTATTTTTAGTCAAACTATCACTATTCCTGTATCATGTATCAATTATGTTGATAATATTCAGAAAGGTCATAAAATGATAATTATTTTAAAGGACTAGAACAAAATTAATTAGGTCGTGAGCTTGCATTTTGCATGAAAACTAACATTATAAGCCTCCTTTTTCATATTTTATTATTAGTGTGGTACTGCAGCTGCTTATAAATTTTATATTATAGATGCATTAAATAATTATTTTTCGTTGATTTTCGTTTTTGGATGTGAATCCCATTATTATTATTTTTTTCAAATGAATGAAAGTATACATTTGGGTAGTTTTAACGTCTTAGTAGAGGCCAACATATAAGAGGTCGTGAGTAAAAGGAATTTTGGGTTCATTACCAATATTATTTAGTTTTGTTGAAATTTCACAGACCCTTCATTTATTTTTGGAACCTACACTTTAATCTAATATTATAAAATATTCTTAAAATATATTATAATGATATTTTTTTGCTAAATGTGCAGTCATAATTAATTATTGACGAGTTAACTCTATAAAAAATTAATACATATTTAATTTATTTTAACTATTTTTTCTTTAACTTTAATTACAAGATAATAAGTAGTCTTTTTGCAAAGGGAGAATCCCAATTAAATCCAGCCAAAATACTAAATCTAGATTTAGGCCTACACTTTTAACAAATATCTAATTAGGCCATGAGACCTAATTAGAAATTTCTGAACATTGTTAAATAACCAAAATACATTTCTTTAATTTAAAAAAATTGATTATTTTACCTCTCCCAAGTGATCCTTCATCTCTTATGATTTTTTTTTCAGACCAAAAAATATATAAGTAAATTTACAATGTTTGAAATTTGTATATGTAACTTACAACCAACATAAGTAAATTTTAAATAAATATTTTTTATTTTTTAATTTAAGAAATGCTGGATCCAACCGAAAATGTAAATTATTACAATTTAATATTAAATATTTATTATAATTAAAATATTTTAAAATCTTAAAATAAATATTTACTACTGAAAAAGGAAAAAATGTTTATTTAAAGGTTACTTATATTATAATCTGAAATTTTTTATGACAAAATTTGGATTTTTTTTTTTGAGTAAGGAAGGTTTTAGTTATATATACAAAATTTCAAATACTGCAAAATTATTTATGTTTTTTGTCTAAATATTGATAATAAGAAATGATGAACCACTTTAGATGGATAAAATAATTAATTTTATTTTTAATTAAAGAGGGACATTATGATCATTTAATAACATTTGGCAATACCTAATTTGGTCTTATGCCCTAATTAAGAATTTGTTAAAAGTGTAGTTCTCAATTTTAATTTAAGTATTTCAGCTCGATTTAATGAAGATTTTTCTTTTTGCAAAATCTACTCTTATCTAAGGGTGGTAATACAAATCAACCCGTGGGTTACGAGTTGACCCATAATAGGCTAGGGTTAAATGGTTCGGGTTGAAAAAGACTTGTGTAATGATGACTTGACTTTCAGTTAATTCTAACCCAGCATTATGGGTTAATGGGTTGGCCTGCTAACTCGTCAACTATTATTTTCTTTTGAATTTTTTTTTAAATATTTTTTTACAATA